TTTAAAAAAAAAAAAGAATATGTCTACTGAAAATGGTCTTTAAGAATTCGACTTCCCCTGAAATCTCGTGGACGTTTAAGAAGATACAACCTGTTGGTTAAAATGAAGTCTAACAGATCACTTTTTTCTTCCTTTTTCAACCTATTTTCTTCTTTCTGAAATATACCGGATAATAGCTGGTATCCAATTTTAGCAGTGTAAGCTTAGTTCCCTCCGAGAAAAGAAGAAAGTCTATTCTTAAATGCTAAGAAAAAAATCTAACAATTCTAAGCACAATGATTGAACGGAATGATCAAGATTGCAATACTTCTTTCCACACAGGTACTCACCAACGAGGCCGCGCACCTTGTGTGTACTTCCTCAGCTTGTTTTTCTTTTTTATATGTGTTATATCTCTGCAAGCGCAACAATTTATACCTTGAAGCACGTTACACAGGTATGAAGTCAAACTCTCGCAACCATTGTCTGCAAATAAATAGGATTAATAAACAGGTACCTCATACCTCTGTTTTGCTTTTAGTTTGCACAAACTTGCGGTAGCATTGTTCGCCCCCGTTGATCATAAATCAAAGGTTCTATTTTCTTTATACGAGACTGAGGCCTGCAAATGTCGGTAAGAATCAACATCACGGTCAAAGGAAATTAAGTGCACCGTTTAGGAGAAACAAGGAGGTGTATTATTCGTTGGTAGAAACGCTATAAAACTTGATTGACCTTTGTTGCCGCGTTGCCATTGTCCACGGTTTGACCAATAGGGCACCCTTGAGCCAGAAGAGTCACAGTTGACCTGAGAAGAACGCATTAAGTTCTGGACCAATCACAGCTCACCCAAAAAAATCCCTGGCGTAGTGAAGTGAGTTGTTTTTCTTGACTCATTTTTGCTGTAACACGTACAACCTTGAAAACATAATTGAAGGAAAGAGAGACAGACAATGTCGTGAGGCAGAGGGTGTGGTGTATAGGCCCTACCGATTAGATTCTGGTAGGTTAGAGCTGGGACTTTCAAACTAGTTTACAGTTATCTGCAATACATCAGTGAAGTCTGAATTATTACTTAATTGGTGACACTGTGTGTGTGTGTGTGTGTGTGTGTGTGAGAGAGAGAGAGAGAGAGAGAGAGAGAGAGAGAGACGCACCACACAAGGTATGATTATTACCATTCTGAACATTATGTTGAATTTGGCAGTATTCAATTATTTGGATGCTGAAAATTTGCTTCCGACTCCTCGCATGGAACCCAAGGTTTTGTTTTGCAAACATTCACTTTCAGGCGACGGAGCAGAATTTACAATATTCAGTTCTTTCCCTGAGCATATTGATAAAAAAAGTGATCATGTCAAATACGTAGGAATTCACTACACAGAAATTATGGTCAATTTTAGCACTGACAAGAAGCAAAGACGCAGAAAGAGCATGACCACGTTCACGGGATTTCGTAATGCGCCCGGGCCCAGCCTTTACCCGTCTACTCCGTCTGCGGTCACAGAAGACGTCACCCTGGGGGCGGTGATCACGTTGGTCGTAATCGTCGCAATCGCTTACCTGTGTGTCTTAGTGGGAATACCTGCCAGTGAGGTGGGTGTGACATTTTATATAAAAAGGCCAAACTGGTTTTTTAAAAAAAGGGAATAAATAAGTTTCCTTCCGTGTTCCTTCCTTGTGGGACTTTTTCATTAAAAACGGTGCAGCATTCAATATTGCACAAGGCATCAAAGAAAAGTTGAGCAGCTCAATCTACGCTCAACTGATTACACATTGTAGAGCAACATATTGCCTTTCTAATTTTTTTTTCATTTCAGCGATTAAATAGTCTTCTCCGGTATCTTGTGGCAGCCACGATCAGTGCCTCCATCTTAGGTAAGCGATATTTTCTAATCACTATCACAGTGTGAATTATTCACGTTGATCAATGATATTGTTGAGAGCATTCACAACAAAGTTGATCCTCGGACTAACTAGTCCGCGTATCAAATATAGCGCGCACTTGACACTGGATTCCCACCTCCCACGCGCACCGTCCCAGCGGGGGCAGAGCAATTAAATTTCGGCACGTTTTCAAGTGGGTAAGGGGGTGGCGCCATATTTGATCCTCGAATTTATTAGTCCCAGGATCAACTTGATCTCAGTGCGCCATTTCATCGCCTGTTCATCTCATTGCAGTGTCGCTGTACGGGCATGGTTGGTATACAGCCGGTATTAACACCAGCGCCGAGTACAAGCCAACCAGCGCCGACAAAGTTTCTGTCAGTATTGGAATGCACGTTGGGTTAAAAGAAGTAAATGTTACGATGAAAGGTAATAAAATACGTGGTTAAATGCTAATATAAATGTACATATTGAATTTATAGAGAATATTCAACATCAGGGTATCAGTGTCTTATTTTTAAGGCTGATTTATCTTGAGTGACATTATATTTTTGCCTTACTTTAGGAATCCCGGAAGAACAACTGAACGAAACTATCAATTACAACGAAGTTTTCAAAATGACTGGAGGTAAGTATTTCCTTTTTTACTTTATTACAGTGAATTTTATTCTGTTACGTATTTTTTTCAATCTAAAACGGTGTTTTATCACTTGAGTTTTCTTCTTTAAAGTTTCTTCCTTGAAGAAAGATTTTAAGCAGGGTTTAAGAGTTGGCCTGCCGCTGCCCGTCCTCTATATTGCCGAATACCTCGCCACAGATGCTGGAAACGCAAGATGGGGGAGAAATTTCCGAATGGCTGGGCACTATTGCTATATTTTCATGTGGTAAGTCGTGACTTATTATAAAATTAATTGTACCTTTAAATAATATTAATGCTCTATTTGTTTATTTTCGTTCGAAAGGGCGAAAGAGCTTGGGTGATCTTTGTGTTGATTTCAAATTTATCTTATTTCCAAATCATCGTAAATGAAATATAGCCAATATAATATAATTATTGCTGTAGTCAGTAAACGAAGTTCTATTAAACCATCTAAAAATCATACTTCACAAATTATTTTTTTCATCTGAAGAATCTGAAATGCCTTTTATGACATAATCACTTTCAGGGCGGCTTTCGCGGTGTGGATGCTGTCTTGCGTCCTATACTTCATGTCGGTGCGGCGAGGAGCGCAGGCCACCCTAATCACCGCTGGCTGCTTGCTGATGGCTAACGTGGTGTACGCAGCGGTCACCTGGAACCAGCTGGCCATTCCTTTCAGCAATGGGAAGATGCCGGTGGTTCTGGGCTGGTGTTACTGGCTGGCTCTGGCGACAGGTAAACAAACCATGGTTATAATGATAAATGCATTTTATGCAAGGTTAACTGGATGCGATAAAAATTAAAAGAAAAACTTCGTGTCCTGTAATAATAGGGACCGTTCACGATTGAATTCCCCTAGCTGCTGTGCAAAAACTCCACGGGGACTATCGCTGAATGCAATCAGATTAACAGACCAGACTTGCCATCTCTCGTTTCCAACGTACTCGTATAGTCACCGGCTTTTCTGTATGCTACTCAGCACCAGGAGGAGGCGTGTTTTAAGTTAAAGCTTGTTAATATGATTTCAGTCAGTGCGTAGAGTCAGTAGTTAGGATGATTCACTTCAGATATTTTCTCGACTTTCAGGAGTGACGTGTTTTATCTTTGGAGTGGCGATTCTCATAGTGGAACGAATAAGCGCAGACAAAAACGCCACATTCTTCGCTCTCCAAGCACCAGAGCAGGAAGAGGAAGACGAGCAAGTGGAAAAAGAACAAGGAGAAGACGATGAAAATATTGAATGTGTAAAACTTTGACTACATATAGGCCAGTGCTTGCGCCTACGATCTGATCTCTAACGAAATTGGCGGTCTATAAAAGCTCTGTGTGATGTTTAGAAACTAGCTTCTTAAATTTACTGTAATTAAACAGTAAAATTTAGGGGACAATTGTTCACAAAGTCACAGTTACCAGGTAGGCTACTAATTGAAAATATACTTTTAAACATTATTAATAGATTTGATAATTGAAATTTCCCTTCAAGTCTCGTGGCCCGTTTCAAGTTTGAAAACGACCCAAGAAGACCATTTAAGTTTCATAATAATGACTTTATAGTATGATCAGAAGTGCTGTAACTTTTAAGCATGGTTCTCATTGAACGCAACACGGAATATAAACATATTAGTGCACCAGCTTTATATATGTGTAAATACAGCATATGTATATCCATAGAGTTCATGATTTCTTTGCTTGTACAAGAAAAATAAGTTTCCTGTCAAGAAGGGGCTTTCTAATCGCAATCATTGATCCGCAAGCCTAACAAAAAGATTGGTTCCTTACTTTTAAGTGGCCATAAAAGGCCAGTCAAAAGGCCAGTTTGCGACCGCGGCGGTCGATGACCAACACCTCCTCGAGCGGTCATTCACACGCACTTTACCTTACCTGCAGTTAAATCAAGGACGTATATTCAATATACGTCCTTGGTTAAATCAACAGAGGAAAGTAATGGTCCGTGTTGTGTGGCCTTGGGCTTAAGAAACTTCGTTTTTTCTTGCATAACAGAACGCTTGGAGGACTTACAAGAAGTTAATGGAAAATAATATCAGACTGCTTGCAAAATTGTTAGTTAAAATATGCGATACAGAAGACGATTGTATACATTAAGTCTTTTAGTGTCTTATGAGCCAAAAGTGCTGGGCGTTTCTCCTTAATATGTATTACGTAACTATACTGACAGTCAACGCATCAGAAAACTCTCTTGTACTTTTTTTTTTACCGAGAATCGATTCCAACCATATAACCGAGTACAAATGCACTTGTTTAGTCACAAGAGAGTGGACTGACCACTCGGGTGTTTAAAATTTCCGCTTCAATGATTTTGTGATCAGCTGTTACAAAACCGTGTGTTTTTCTTGTCTCGTGATTGGTGTGAATTAATCAGGTTCAATATATGGTGATTAATTAAGCCTATTTAAGGTAGTCACCAAATCCAGTATGACACATGACAAAAAAGTTCAGTGATGCCACGTCTGACACTGGAAGAGCGACTGCGGGCCCTGGGGATGCTGGAGGCTGGGCGGAACCAAAGAGATTTGATCACGTGACCTTGCATTTTAATGATCTTTTCTGACCTTTATTTCACCTTCACCTGTGACAGAATAATGTGTCATATTTCGCACGAAAAATGTTATATTCTTAATGTGCCAAATTAACTTAAAATGTTATTTGATAAATAAATGATGCGTTTTCATTGACTGTCAGTATATTATAAATTAACGAATGAAATTAATGAAATATAGTTGACGTGCTTTTGAAGTTAGAACTTTTACGTTAAGCTTGCGATACAGTCCTTACATGTGTGTAACAATATCCTCTAAAATAGGAAGTTAAATAAATGAATAAAATGCATATACGAAAACCAATAAAAACGGCAATTTTATTTTATGAAAACAGTAATCATACCCATGATGATTTGAATGTTGTGGAGATTCAGTTTGTAAAAGCAATGTTTTTTTATGACGTTTTGAGAGAATGTACAGAGGGAAAACTCTACAAACTGACAAATATACAGATACTAAGCAGAAAAAGGCACTTCTTATTTCACTGAAGCAGGCACATACAAGTAAAATATGACTTTTGTAAACATCGTCCAATGGTGATAATTTTCGAAAGAAATTGAATTGAGCTACTGCATTTAAAGCGTAATTTAGCAATATTTTCTGCCAGACTTAGTGTGATCTTTTCTTCTTCTGATAGAAAGCGTATCTTAGTTTTTCTCGCAATGGCCTGTGTGCAGTACATTCATATATGAAGAATTTGTGTAGTGAGGGACTTTTTTGTTTTTAGATATCTGTGGAGTAAAAAGTAGACGTGAACAACTCTCCAGAATCACGTGAGCAAATACACTAAAGGTCATAGAAAGATGCGGTTCACCCATCCATGGTAGCCTTATGGTATTTAATACATAAAATGTTTAAATCCAACTTTGTACTCCTACCACAAATTTTGACATATCTCTTCAGATTTATTAAAGTTTTTTTGAGCTTTCGTGTGAAAAAAAAAAAAAACTGGTTTACTGGAACATTGTCTGTGGCACTTACCGACCCCCCTATCAGGCTCCTACGCCTATAGCTGTGTCAATAATTCTCACATTGTATTTGCCATCGCTTTCAAAGCCATAGTTCAACATAAATGACCCTCAAAATTAATCATAAAAGAAGGTGAGGGGCAATTCTAGTACCGCAATCAATCCATACTTATATCAAATTGATGTTTCTCTTCAATCCCCATGGTTAACCCTGGCTTTTAAAAGGTACCCTCGTCCTTATATTAAACTAAAAACGCACACCAAGCACAAAGACATGCAGAGAAGGCCCATTAAGGACAAATTCCTTCAGAAGTGCTAGATGCATTTCACAAATAAACACAACCCTGTAGCCAAAGCAAACTGCAATATTTTATAATAACCTATATTTACTACTACTACAACAGGATTATAATATGAAGTTTTCAATGTATTGCCTGCTGGCTACGACCCCATATCATAGGTTAATACTTAACACCATTTTCTCGTTCCTTTCTCACAAAAGCCGCCGACTGAGTGGTGTCAATCCTTTGCAAAAAATTCCTCTCGACAGAAAATAAAAGTATAAAGAATGAGCTAGAGAAATATCTGTAAATATTACGTTAAAAATCTATCTGTGGCCCTGGTAATGGGTACTTCATTGTTCTGGGTTTAAAGGGCTTGAAGTGAAAATGGCGCAACTTGGCACAAGTCTCGAAGTACTGGTCATTGAAGCATTAGCGATTCTTGTAGCTCATAGCATTGGCATGTTTAGGGGGTGTTTGGGGGGGGGGGGTCCGGACCCCCCCCCCCCCCCCCGCTAAAAAAAAAAAAAAAAAAAAAAAAAAAAAAAAACAACGGCCCCCCCTTAAAATTAAAATTTT